CAACAGCATGTATGGAGCAAAGGGTTCAATTATAGGACAACTACTTCTCATTTTATTTTTTAAATGATGTAGCAAAACTTTTAAAATTCAGTCTGAAAAATCCTTTTTTAATAAAAAATTGTGAAATTGCATTTAAAACCAGAAAAATGGTTGGACGGAAGCAAACTGACTTTAAAATGAGATAAAACAAGACAGATACGTTTAAGAAACGGAGCGAACAAACCAACTATTCAAAAATTATATAAATCTAAAAATAAAATTTTTCCAAAAATACGTTAACTAGGTCTGTATTTCGATTTTCAAAATTGGAAATCAAAAATACGTTGAAAATGTCTTTATATAATTAATTGTCACTGTGGAATCATATATCAATTGGGCGAGGTACTAAGTAAACAACAAGTGAATTATTTTTTCCCAACATACCTTAAATCTGTTATTCAATATAACGTATAAGTATAAAATTCGAGGTCCCAATCCAACCTATAACTGATCTTATCTTGAGCAGATTGACTATTGAGTAGAGTCCTTATCTAGAAGAATGAATTAAATCTCAATCGTTTTTTTGTGGAAATTTTTTAAAAAATGTTAATAAAAACAGCTTCAACTTTTCAATTCTTTATGTGAAATTGTTCGCGGTGATATTCAGGAAGAGAACATTAAATTTTAAATTCCATAATACTTGAAACAAAATATGAATTTGTGATCAACACTGAAAAACACTAAGCTCTAAATTGTCCTCTCCATTTCTACATGAATTTGCGTAGAGTTTTTTTTCGAAATTTTTTTTTCAATAGGACAAAACATGAAATAAAATAGCCTCAACAAAATTTTTTAGAGATTGTAGTTAAAATAAGTCATGAGCTATCATGATTAACATTATAAATTTTTTCACTGTACCAGTTTTTTCCATGGTGTCATTCTCATTAAATTTTACAAAACAAATTTTTCATCTCAAAAGTTTCAATTATTGAGAATCGTACAAAATCAGAAATCTGAAACCCGTCAAAATTTTTCTAATGAAAACCTCTCCGATTAGGCTATTTCAAGCTGATTATTTATGAATGTACAACTAAGCTAGAAACAATTAATCAAGATTATTGATACATAAACAAATCTGGTAACAGGCAAAAAAAAAATTTTTTAAATAGTTTTAAAAAAGTTTGGTAGTTTTTAACTGTTTTAAGATCTTCGTCAGACCAAAATCAATACAATTCAAACTGTAGCTGATAGCTTTTGGTTTAGTTTGATGCACTTATTTTTTTCGGGTGGATTGATTTAACGTGTTGATAGGATACCGGAGTTTATGGGCAGAACTTTGATACCAAAAAAGTCAAATTAGCAAATGATAGACTCCATATAGTTTTACAAAGAATAATATGCAATAATTTCTTTCCATAAGGCTAAATCGGGTCGGAACAATATATAATCTCGCGTGATGTTCGGTCAACTTTATAACCGCTGGCCTTGATTTGGATTTTGTATGAAAAAAAATCTCAAAAAGCTGTCTCAGAGTCAAGAAACCTGGTCTGAATGTTTTCGATTTTCAAATTAAATGGTACGAAATTTGCAAATGACAGAAAGAGAAACTGTACTATCAATTGAATCAGTTTTTCAACACAATTCAATATCTTGTTTACTCTTGTTCACTAAAAGTTACCATAAAAAAGTGAAACTAAATATTTAACAAAATTAACGAAGCGGCTAGTTTGCATTTTTTCTTCAATTTTTCTCATGTTTGGTTTTTTGATATTATTAATTGTAGTGGGAACCTTTTGTGCTGCTTGCATAGCAACAGAGGAGCTTGCATAAGAACAATGCATTGATGTTACTAGTGCTCTTTAAGGTGTCTAAAAAAATTTTAAACTTATTTTTCCTGGTATTTGTTTGTCTGAAGCAATGCTGGGTAACAAGCGATTTTATCAAGTATATTTACACCTTATTTGTACAAACTATCTTTCGCAATTCAATTTTTCAATGATTTGAACTGGAATAATTTTGGTACATTATGCGCGGAAAATGCGCAAAATTCTTATAGAAAGCTGAGAACTTAGGGTCAATTAACAATATCTAATCGACCAATTTGAAAATATTTGAGCCCTCGTAATTTCACAAAAACATTTTTAAATCAAAATAATTTTCCTCAATTTGAACTCAAGTTAACAACTTGTTTCAGATTTTAAGCAAAATCCCCTCTAAGCAACTGTAAATAAAATCTCAAAGTGGTGTTGTAAGAAAATGATTTCACAGCAAAATTATTCGGTTATTGTTTTAAAATCGCAAAAAATTGTACAAAAAACATGGCTACAAAATGGGGTTTGTTTTAAGAGATATATTTCCTCGCCGTACTAGTTTTTTGTTTGGTCGAAGATTCGCATTATAGACAAGTTGTTCTTTAGATGGTTAGATGATGCCAAACCAGTGGATTTGAAGTCCAAATTAACAGCAATTAAATCGAATCGCTCACATTTCTGCCTTGACTTACCGTATTTTTAATTGTTTGAAGTAGAAAAAAAATCCAATTTTCGGCGGAAGATTTAGGATCAGAGTTGTTTTTACACACGCAATTTTTGCCTGTTTACCTTGCCGTTTTTTTAAACAATATTTTCTGCTACCATGCGAAACGTTTTGATGTCTAAAGCTGAAATTTAAAAAAAACTCACCAGCGACCATTAGTTGTAAAGTTATAGCTGTATTAATTTGGGAAAAATTTGAGCTCTCTAATTTCAATTGGAAAAACTAATTATTAATTCGCTGAATAAACAAGGATAGCAGGTTGCTGTGCAAGTAGCTCAAAATGTTCCGACATTATCCATAAAAAACTTTAAAAAAAAACTCTTTTTAAAGTTTTTTCAAAATAAAGTCGTTGTTCGCATGATGTGAAAAGTGTACAAATGAATAGAAAATTAGCGAATCACGCATAATTGATGTAATATGTCCAATAAAAAAATTATTAACCGGCAAAAGTGAAAAAAATAGTTTACAAAAAAGTTTTTTTTTCAAAATTCTATTTTTAACAATAATTTTAAAACGTTTTTGGAATTTTTTTTTGCCTAGTTGGCCCTTAATTAAGCTAAATATTTACCCAGTAAGCGCTAAATAGTGTTTGTTTCAGTCAAATTAAGTTTTCTTTGTCTAAAATTTCCAGGTAACGAACTTACTCCATCGCTCCACTCGCTCGAAATTAGACTGAAACCTAAAAACTTCCTACCGGTTTTTCTCGACACTGGACGACCCTCGACAATTTTTTTTTGCTTTAGCTCAGCTGAAAGTAGTTAATTGTAGTATGCAAACAATTTTGAACCTGATTTTGAAACCTTGCTGTCTACTTTTTCAGAATTGAAGTTTTGAAAAAAGTTTAAAACTTCTAAGTAGTCGGGTCTAAATTTCTTGACGACTTATTCAAAACCAACTTCAATTTTATTTGATTTAGAAGCATTAGTGGTTTCAATGTTTGTCAATCTTTGAAAAACTATAAATTTGAGTGCTTCATCAAAAATAGAACTTAGATCAATATCAATACTCAATGTCTGTGAACTGATGTAGTTTTTGGAGGAAAATTTCTAGTCTTAAGCAGAATAAAATTTTGAAAAAATTTTGAAAAGGTTATGGTTGTTTTTTCAATCAAACCGAGCTTCACACGGCTTTCATGCATTCAAGCACAATGCATTATAATCAAAACTCAACGTTGCTTTTGCACATTACTACCCCCCCCCCCCCCCCCCCCGCATTTACCACTCCCTCCGTTTACAACTCCCAGCTTACACCTCACTATTAACACCCCCTTTCCCCGTGTACACTCCCCTATGTTTACAACCCTCTCGCGCTTTAACCCGGGGTTGGGTTTTATGGGTAAATAGTAAATGCAGGCAGGGGGAAAATTGAACAAATAGGGGAAGGGGTAGGGTTAACGCGTTTTTGGCCTACCGACACTATAAATTTTTCTGAAAGCGCCTGCAGCGCCAATATAAACTTATTTTGAGGTGCTAAAATCACGTTTTTTGTCTAAATTTTCCAAAAAGTGTCCAAAACCGGCATTTTGACCTTTAAAAAAAATGCTAAAAAAGGTCAACAAACTTTCAAAACAAAATTTTGAAAAAGAAAATCATCGAGAAAAACATCCTAGATCTGCCCCTGAAAGGTCTAAAATATATAAATTCAAACACTTAAGTAATGAGTCTTCTTACTACAGTAATGAGAACATTTGAAGACAAAAACAACCTACTTATATGAAATAAATAAATTAAATCATGTCTTCTGCCAAACAATAGTTTCATCGGAGGCGGATGTCGGTTTTATTCGAAGGCGGTATGAATTTCATTTTTTTTTGAAAAATTTGTTTATCTTTTCTCAGGTAGATAACATTGACTTTACAAAATCTCAAGATACACTGAACAGCAAAACTCATATTGCCTTTTCGTTTGAAGCTCCTCGCGCCCTTACTCCCTTACTACCACAACCACCCCCAGCCCCCACCCCCCTTCCCCCCCACATCTCATTTGCGGCAGTGAACCGTTGAAAATTGGGAGTAGCAAAAAAGAACCTAATAGAAGGTTTCGACAGGACTATGGTTCGAATGCAAGAGGCGTTCTAAATTAGCCTCAAATTATCACGTCTTAGCTTAGAATCGAGGATGATATCAAAGCAGTCTTGATGAAAACCGCACCCCACGTGGAAGAAAATTGATCAATATTTTTCATTTCATCAATTCTTCTACGCCAATATTAAACCTTTAACAGTTAAAAAATTGTTTGTGTTAGTTAATTCTTGTATAGTATCAAGCATATCTACTGTAAATTTCACGAACAAGACAAAAAGTCGAGGAACAAAATTAACTAAAGCAAAATTCGACAAAATCTACATAAACAGGGTTCAAACTTCTCAACAATTTTTAGAAAAACAGTCGTATTTGTATAACAAGTCAGAATTTTCAAAAACAACTAGGAGATGCAACTTTAAATAAGGCTCGCCAAACGTAATCGTATCAAAATCAAAATCTTGTTTTTTGAAGTATCGTAAAACTAAGTGGAAAAAAAAACAATTTCCTGTTTGTAGATTTTGAACCCCCTGATGCCAAAATCAATGGAAAGAGAACAAAATGAATTTAGTTCAAAAACAACTCAACACAACCGACAATCAACAACCAAAACACGAATGAAAAATATAGCAGCTGCAATTTACACAACATCCGAACTTGGCGCGAGACAATCCATTCTAACAAATCACAAGTCTATAAAATTTAATTGAGTTTAATTTCATTATACTCTAAGTTTTCTCATCTCTGATTTTGCTCAGCTGGTTTCTTCGGTCTACCGGTTTTCTTTGTTCTTGACTGTCTCTGAAATAATATTAAAATTTATATAAAATACTGACGGTGATAACAGTTATCTGAAGTCAAACATGTATTTTTAGCATTTTAGTGGCCGTGAATTCATTTCGCCTTTTAAACTCATTTCAAAAAACATGTTTTTTGATACTATTTAATACAAAGGCAAGCAAAAATTAGCAGCCTAACAGTTAGCACGAATAAAATTACTTAGGTTGTCTATTGATTTTTGTGAAACTTCAAGCGACCAGTAAACTTTCTCTGGAAAATGTTGAAATGATAAAATCTAAAACTGTAAATTTCACTCCTGATTTGAAATGCGATCAAAGCAAGAATTAAAACCACTGAAATTAAATCTAATCCAACAGAATCGAAAAAAGAGTCTTAAAACAAAAAAAAACTACTTACTGTTTCGACGAGAAGGACATGCAGCTGGTCCACAAGATCCCGACATAAATTTTTAACGGCTAAATCACTGAAACAATAATAACCATAAACTAATTTCAGACTTATACAAGAGTGTTATTGTATAATTTCCTAATTCCAGCCTGAGAGAACGTCATCAGACCAAATATTCGGTCTTTTAACTTCTCTGAGTGCAAAAAGATTTAACTTTTTCAACATTATAAGACAGATGAAAAAGTGCCAATAAGCTCAAAAACAAACAAAGAATAATCAATTTTATGAGCTTTTTCAACTTTCAGTTTTGACAATTGACCTTAAAGCTCTTTTACTTCATTCCCGCACTTGGCACCGTTGAAAAAAATAGACTCTTCATTTCTTTCATTGATACTTTAAGCCAGACAGGAATCGTTCCCCAGCTAAGATTCGTTCGAAAAATACATAATTTAAGCGTACATGGTCGTCTATTTCAAATTATTTAAGTTTACATACAGAGTTTACAAATGAAATAAAAAGGAATACACATTTATTTCATTTTATATCAATTTTATTTTGAATTTCACTCATTTCAGCGACAACACTACATAAATGGTATGCCGAATTAAAACCAAACCTGGTTCCGTGCATTAAATCCTATCAAGTATTAAACAGTACTCTTATTTTACTATTGAACGAGTCTGATTGGAGATGATATATCAGATTGTATTTCAGTTAGTACAGTTGTTTCGAATAATATTTCGAAGTTCGAATTTGTGAAAGGCAATTTTTCCGTAGTACGAAGGAGGATAGAGAAAACGCTACGCTGAACTCAAAAACAACAAAATCTACCGACCGTTTTTGGCCATAATTTATGGCACAGTGACTACACACGTAGCCGATGATGTCAATATCATCCAACTTCCTCTTCTCTTCCGCCTTGAATTCACCACTGGAAAACTTCAGCATGTTTACTAAAAATACAATAATTGTTAAATTTCTGAATTAACTTGGGTCTTTTCTATATACGGCCAAAAATTATTAGACTGTTAAATGAGCTTATCTTTTCATTAACATCTTAGATATATTTTCGCTTATAATCAACCAATCAGCTGATATAATTTCGCTGATAATCAACCAATCAGATTTCAACAACTTTTAAACTAGCAAAATGATTAGTTTTTGGGCCGTAAAACAGAAAAGACACATTAACTTTTCAAAACAAATATTCAGATAAATGTTAATATTAAGTGAAATTGATAAAAAATATATCACAAAATAAGGGACAAACTGATCTTGAATATTCACATTACTGACATTTGTGAAATGACAAATCGATTCTCCACATAATTATGATATAAATACAGGAAGCAACTCACATTTAATTCCAGGCTTCTCACTGATTGTATTCTAAAGCAGAAAAATTTTAAAATTTAAACGTTTTACTTATCACTATTTGAAGTTCGAAAACAATTTTTCCTGGAGCAAAATATAAACATAGCCAATTGCCAGTTGGAAGAAAGAAATGAACGAAAAGAAACTGAAAAAAAAATGGACTTATCATGGACACTTTTTGGCTAAAATTAACCCAATTTGAGAAAACTGGATCAATAGGTATACTTTTTATTTCACTGGGAAATCTGATAATTAATTTCCATTTTCGAAATTAGAAGTCGATCACGTTTTTCGTGACCTTTACAAATTTGCTGTTCGATAGTGGAGTTTGCCTTCCTTCTAACAATAGAAATGCATTGAACTTAAAAAGAAATCGCAAGTCAAATTACGAAAAATCAAAATGAGCGTGAACAAACGATTTATTCAAAATTAGTAAGCACAAAACATGGGAAACAGAAGCAGGAAACAGAAGCAGTTTGCCTTCCTTCTAACAATAGAAATGCATTGAACTTAAAAAGAAATCGCAAGTCAAATTACGAAAAATCAAAATGAGCGTGAACAAACGATTTATTCAAAATTAGTAAGCACAAAACATGGGAAACAGAAGCAGGCCCATTAACATGCCAGTTTGCTTAAATCAGGTGTTCAGTAGGCAACATTAATTACATCGAAAATTTCAATCATTTGCCGTTAAACTTGAAGTTTACGTGGCCATGCTAATCGACAAAAAAAACATGCTAATAACCCGGACACGCAGTGATATGATGATAGTAATAAACACTTACACGAGCTCTCTAAATAACCAAGTGGTTTTTGTTCCATGTTCCGACTGCATTTCAAGGTGTTTCTTGATGTTTCGACTGCATTTTAAGGTATATAGAATAGTGTTCTCTTTGCAAAAATGGATGAACCTTAAAAAAAAATTTTTAAAGTTTTTTTTGTGATTTTTTTTCTGAAATTCATCCGACCACACGCTATTCGTGATAGGTTTACATACAGCAAAGTATTAAATAGACCAAATAGCATGCCTCAACTCAATTTGGAACGATTTTTTGAAATCTCCGCTTACGCGTTCATAACGCGAACTATAGAAATATATCGCGCATGATGACACCAAATTGGCAATCTTTACACAACCATAACTTAACAAAAATAGATCACAGGTAAAATATCTTTTTAAATTCGAGCTCAAAGCAACAATACCTTTTGAATGGCATTAAAAAATCCGTCAAAAATGACTAGTTAAAAAGTCAAAAATTGTCTGGAGAAAAAATACCACCCCGAGCACAAATATTCCGTCACATTCTTCGAAAGTCGGAACAAAATAGAGTTAGGGCTAGGTAAAAAACTATTGATTTAAAAGAGTGTTTCTGTAGCTGAGAAGTATTGAAAGCACATGTTACGTTGCTTCGGTAATCCGAGCTAAGTTATTAGGGCACCTATTGCTCGTTTTTAAGGTAATCTTCCTACTTAAATTCCTTTAAGGAGCACTGGTGAAGTGGTTGAAAGTCTCCGTCTCTCAGTCGACAGGTCTTGAGGTCGTGGTTCGAGGATTATCATGATTCGTGCTCCAATTATCCAGCAAAACTGAATTTCGTTATCAAATGATATCAGACGACCTGTTCGCCGTTACGAGCTGAACGGCTTGTATGTTTTCCCTAACTATCGGTTTCAACTACCTCATAATTGACCTCTGCTTAAAATTAGTTGATATCATATGTCATGGGCTAAATTTAGTTGGAGAAAAGGTTTTCCCTCTATAATTTAGGTAATGATAGTATCGAAAATATGTATATTAGACAGAAGCAAATCTTTTTGAGAACATTTAACTGTGACAGTGAAAGAGTTTGCTTTTTATTATTTTGACTTTGAAATATTATGAATTACTGAAGCTGTCTAGTTCATAAAGCTTCTTTTTTTCTATCTAATTTAAAAATTAACAACTCAATAACTAAGAACTGATTTTCTAACCTTTTTGCAATAAACAATTTCTTTAATGAATGCGCTCCAATCTTGTGCCTGAAACAAAAACCAATTTTTGTAGCCAGCAGTTAACAGTAAAAAAAAATGAGCGAACGAAAAAAATTCGATCTCATATCAGCATTACATCCCATGTTAGCCATTGCAGACAAATAAACCTGAATCTAATCAGCAAGCATTTTCAACTAGGAACTATATGAAATTCTTCATCTATCAGATATTTTTTACGTCTCAAATATACCAAAAAAAAACGAAAACATCGTCTTCCCCCTGCGTTAATGCATCGGAGCCTAACTACCGCAGCTTTTGCTACACTTGTGTTATCCTCCAAGACTAAAACTATGTTATCTATCAATCCCTATCAAACAAATACGGATATTTGAACAATCAGATCAACCATACAACTCCCTCCCCCTTCCCATAAATGACGCACCGTAGACCCTTCCGCTAACGTATTATTTTAAATAATTCATTCTATTCAAAATATAGTTTTCGAAAAAACGCCGAAATTAATGGTTCACTAAAAGTTCTATACGGGATCCTATTTTTGTACAGATAATTACCTAAATTACAACGTATATTTTTTCTTAATAAAATTCTTAATTGAATCAGTTACTATATTCAAAAGTAAAATTCTAAAAAAAAATCTGTATTTCTGAAAAAAAACGCATCGCTTGGCACGATTTAATGTGATCTTCAATATAGTGTTTAGTGCCCGACTTAGTAATTGACCCAATAATTTTTAATAGAGCTCCTACAGGGCACTGGATTGTTTAATTAGCAATAGAATTGTTTAATAATAGCTGAAAGAGCTTAAAAATCCTATTTGAAGAAAAAACTGAGAGGAAACTTACCGCTAACTCGATTTTCATCTTGAAATCTTTCAAAACAGGTTTAACATCGCCGCTAAAAAACAATCATTTTAAAATTAAAACATCATTGTCTGCTTTTTAAAAACAAAATCACAGCCGAAAAGATTTCAAAACTTTTTCTTTGTCAAAATAATGTTTCTCGCGTTTATTCAAGTACTGAGCAAGAAACAGGGTAACAAACTTACAGGGTAACAAACTTGTTTCTCTTCATCAGTTCCTTCCAAACTTCTTCCAATTCCTCTTTTCTGGGCCCCTTCGTTCTACTCAAGCTACACCAGGTGGTACGCCAGTCGCGTACTAAAATGGGAAGAGAACTTAAATTTCACACCCGCGGGCGGGTTTTCACTTCAATTGACTCGACTCAACACACTTAGTCCAGAAACTAAGTCGGAGATCTGTTGAATAAATCGAATTCAGGCTTGCGTCTCTTCGGGACATTACGACTTATAAATGCAATCACTATAGCCTAAATTCTCTAACAGTCATTACATACATTCTACCCGAACTCACTCGATTGAAGCTTACGCTAGGCAACTAGTTCTTTCCCATACCTACAAGAATGGTCGGAACAGAAAAACGAACGGCGATTTCTGTACAAGCAGCACGAAGTGTTGAGACCACTATAAATTGAAATATAAAAGAAAAAACGAAAAACTTTTTTTTCGCGGGACATATCAAGCTGAAACTTCCAGCGTGGAAAATTAATCTAAAAAACAGAAACCTTCGCCTTTTAATCAGTTTAGTGGGAGCAAAATATAATGCAACTAGTTCTTCTAGATCTTAGTTTTTATTTTAAATTTGAAGTATACAATAAACGAATTCGTAGCTCATACACTTATACCAACAACAACATCACCAGTAAATAAGGGTAATGGTGGAATAACATAGCCAACTGACAGTTGGGAAAGATTAATGAAAGCAAGGAAACAGAAAACATCAATTTACGAATTTTATAGAAAAAATATATGCCCTTAAAGCTCTTTGCATTTCATGAAAACTTATGACTGGTACTTTTCTGATAAAATTGACCCAATTTGAGAAAACTAGATTATAGCAAAAGTTTTTATTCCGCTGAGAAATCTATAAATTAAATTCCACTTTTGAAACTAGAAGTAGTTTTTGCGCCATTTTCACAGTTTTTGTAGAGTGCTATTTACGTCACTTTCAGAACATGAATTTCATTTGAACTCAAAAAGCGCAAATACTCCTTATTGCATTCGTAAATGCATTAATATGAATGAATGCACATCTGTTATTGGAGCATTTTTGAACATAGTTATTGGAGCATTTTAAGACTTTTTCCTGGATAAAAAAAAACCTCACCAAGACCTAAATAAGAGTCTTCATTACGATCATTAGTGTTCAACAAGAATATCAAGTTGCTGAGCAAGTAGCACAAAACGTTTCGACCACCAAGTTAAGTAAAAAATTTTAAAAAAAACAATACCGCTCGTATCAAGGCAAAGCCTTGAAAATTCCGTCTGCTCGTAATCTATCTGCAGTTTTTCTCTAATCCTCAAAAATATTTTGAAGTTTAAATTTCCCTCAACGCGAAACTGCTCGTAATCTATCTGCAGTAGTTTTTCTTTAATCCTCAAAAATATTTTGAAGATTAAATTTCCCTCAACGCCAACATATTTCAGATGGCGAAAAAATTCCAGCAAAAACGGTCATTTAAAATCAAAATTTGTTTTTTGGGACCTTTACGCTTTCGCTGTTTTTTGCCTTCCTTTCAACAAAGGAAATGAACTGAAGTTATGAAAAAAATCAAAAGGCAAACCGCGAAAAATCAAAATTTAGCGTGAACAAAACTTTTTTCTGAACAAAAAACTTATCGCAACCTAATTAAGAGTCTGAACTACGTTCATCGACTGTCAATTATGTACAAAACTGAATTATAACTGAATTGGTTGTCATCAAATTCAAAGTCAACACGTTCCGTTTCGCCGAGTTGGTCTGAAAATCGAAAAATTCCAACACTTCTCGATACTGTAACAACTTTTTAATAAGATACCACGCTCACTCCCTACAGGCTTTTTTTCAGCTTGCCACAATATTTCAAAAAAAAATCACACTCTACGCCATAGTTCTTCTTCCCTTCGTGAAGTAGTCGGAATAATTCGGAACAAAAAAGACGCTATCACCATGCACTTACCGTGATATTTCTGTCCATTTCTTACGAACGAGTAGTAAACACCCTTGCTTCGCTTCTGCTCATCGGTTTCTTGTTTTCCGGGCGCCGAGTTAATATTTATTTTAGTTGAATTAACTGGACTTCCATTCGGCCATTTAGCCGGAGATCTCTGTCTGAGCTCGGCGAAAAATCTGCTATAATCCTCTAAATCATTCACGCAATGATTATCGCCAATATTGCCGTGATTCTCATGATCCATTGCACTGCCATCTTGTCCAAGCTTTCGATCGTATTTTTTGGTCCTTTTCATTCCTTTTGCTATTGTTTTTGTTGCATTTTGTTTGGTTGCTTTATCATGAATTTGCTTTGATTTTGTCTCAATTCCTCGCGTATTTTCGTCACCCGCTAGATAATTTGTCGAATTTATATTTGTTCTAGATACAGAAAGTAAATCAGAAGTTTCGGTTGTTGTTATTGTCGTACTTGGCGGCAAAGGTTCCTGGGCAGTGCAGCCTCGTTTCGCTTCAATACGCTCTTTGTCTTTGGATAGTGCTCGTTTTCTTTTACTTTTTTCCATGAGCTTTGAGTTGCTTTTTATCGCAAAAGAGGCTATAACTCCAGGGTACTTTCTGGGAACAAGGCCTCTTTTGCTTGAACGAATTGAATCTTGACTCTTAGAAGCTGATGATTTGCCATCAGAAAAGGATCGATTTTGTTGGTTTTCAAATCCAAAAGCTTTTTCATTACCTGTCTTTTCAGGCGCGCTTTGAATTCTCGGTAACTCTTTGTTTATATTCTCTTCTCTGCGTAAAGTAGTTTGTTCTTTCTCGTTTGTATTGGTAAGTTCTCCCGGATTTCTTTCAGTATGGTTCCCAAAACTGAGATAACGAAAAATTGTTGTAACTTCACTTTTTCTGGGGTAATACAAGCTGGACCCAACTTGTGTTTCTACGTTTTCATGCCGATCAAAATCCTCGCGTCTGATAAAGGACATACTTCTTCTAACTGTTGTTTGCAAACCAACAGATTTTCTGCTCAACCTCTTGTGAGGTGTGGGTTTTCGAAATGATACTTGACAACTGACACCTTTGGGTTCCTCATTTGCCGATGTCTGTGGATCCTGCTGTTCCTCGGGAGTAACCGCAAAAGAGACGCTTCGTCTACTTCTTTTAGTGCTTCTCAGTGGAATCGAAGTCGGTGTTTTATTTGACGAATTTTGCTGAGACAAAACTGTAACTGCTGTAACCGAATTGGTGTCAAAACAAAATGGATCTACAAACAAATTTTCCTTATTGACGCAATTTGATCCACCCGTAACGTCTTTTTCTATAAACGCTCGAATCACCTTATCACTTTTTTCTGTGGGATCTTCACTTTGGATAATTTTTTCAGCCGTTGCGTTGATTTCTTTCCTTTCACTTTCAGCGCTCTCTTCGCTCAAATCTGAGAAACGTATCGGCTTCCCGTCAGATCCAGTTGCAGTTTCATTTTGACATCCGGAGTCGACATTACCTGCAGCCATAACTTCAACAGCCGAGTTTTGTAACATTTGAACGCTCGTTGTTTGCGATCGACTTTTTTCATCGGGTTGCATTTCACAAATGTCAGCTTCATTGGCCAGATTATTCTCAGTTACATTCTCCATGTCTGATACCATCAAAGCGTATGGGTTTACATGACAATCAAAAGCCTTAAAAGAGTTTCGACGAGAAAACCGTTCACGGGTTCCATTTACATCTGACAACTGGATCTCCGAAGTATTTTTCGAATCCACAGAAATGTTATTTGTTACAGCATTAGCAGTTTTGGCAACCCTTACATTTCCATTAGCTCTGATACTGTATTCAAACTCTCGGCTATTAGAGAGTTCATTTAGAAATTGACTTTTTTCTGCTGTTTTATTAGCGGCATCAACATCAAATAAAGAAATAGCAGAACTTCGATCTTTCTTCGTGAGGTTTTTCCGTTTAGATATAATGGACACAGCACTAGCCCTGTAACCTTGTCCACTTTCAGAAGATTTTGACCTTCTCGATTTTCTTTGAGATATTCGTTCCAGTGATTCTTCGCTGCGATTCGATTTTCTCTTTAAGGACGACTTATCTGGCTGGTCTGACAAAGACGAAGACTTTATGGCTCTTTTTGATTGCTCCAGTCCTGAATCTAACGAAGGCAAAGTATAGCTTGGTTCGATTACCTGTTTGCGAGATCTCGTAGACTGAGATACATTCTGACTGTATTCGGTGCTGTCTAAATTTGGACTCCCGATGTTTTCGATCTCCTGTGATTCTTTTAACGACTCTTTAGAAGAGGTTTGTTCAACATTTTCATCTTCACGACTTTTCACAGACTGTTCAGAGCTATAACCAAACACAGAACTTTCCAGTGAGCTCTTATTTGTATCAGAAAAGTGCAAGCTACTTTCTTCATTTTGTAGTTTATTTGACGGCGTGCGAGAGATCCCCTTACCAATTTCAGAGAATGACTTCAATTGAGATTGTGTTGAATTTGATCTCCCACTTGACCTTGAAGCGACATTTGACCTTGAAGATGACGCCGTACTTCGCGATGAATTCCTGGTACCATGAGTATCACCAGATTCTGTTTTTCCAGGCGAAGCGGTATTTTCAGATCCATGATTTTCAACTAAGCCTGAATAGCTTCTCTCCGCTCTATGACTGGACCTAGATCGTAAAGTATCGTTTATATTTCTGCGTATAAACGTATCATTTGAAACACTTTTGTCAGAAAAATTTGAGGAACCTGAACATTCTTCGGATTTTTCTGGCTGGGCAGCTGGTTTATCTTTAGCAACAACTTCAGTCAAACTCTCAAAACCAGAGAGTATCGAATCAGAACGCCTCGCATCCTCGCTTGATGAAATATCATTCCGCGAAAACGATAACGATACTCTGCCTTCGGTTCCATTCAAACCGGATAACTGCAGCTCCGATGCTTCTTTAATAGTTGCTTCCGAAACCTTTCTCACAACTGAACCCTTTCTGGCTACGGCTCTTTCGTTTTTATTAGTCCGGATACTGTTTTCAAAGATATTGGACCTAGAAAATTCTTCCAAGAAATTGCTGATTTCTGAAGGTTTCGAGTTATTTCCATCAAATAAACCGATTGACTCGGACTTAGAGCACTCATTGACCACCTGCTGATCTGCAAATACGTTTGCAGCATCAAAAGCTTCGGAATTCGCTCGGATAGAAAGGGAAGAGGGTGCAAAAAGTGACAACGCCGAGTTTCGATCTCCATTTGTAGTTCGGCTTTTAGCATTTTCTGACGATAGCGACCTTGCAGACTTTGTAATGGATAGCCCCACTGAAATTTCTTCACCATTCGATTTTCTTGTTTGAATTTCATTCGATTCAGGAATTGAGACATTTGCTTGCAGTCCTGATTTTCTTGTTCTAGTTTCAGATAATGAACTATTTCGTTGCCCGATGTTGCTTCTAGACCTAAAACTTGATTTCGATTTTGACCTTGGCCTCAAAATATCTCTGGTTCGGTTTACACCTGATACTTCTGTGAGCGTGTTATCGATAGATATCCCAACACTACAACTGTTAATTCGCAGAGACTGCCTTGGAGACTCATTTTCATTATTTTGCACATCCACAGACTTTTCTTTTCTGGCTTTCGAAATATCAGTCGAAAATGGGGTCAGAGAATCGACGAACAAATCTGTTTCGACTTCCGAAATATTCTGCATAGACGAATTGTTAACAGGAAAAAAATTACTACTTCTCCGAAAATGAGAAACGTCGCCGTTTGATTGTCGCATTTCTGAGCTCCTGGCTTGTTTGCTCTTTGAACTGTTATAAAGACTCAACTTCGAAATGTTCCCATCAATTAACGACTTCCTGGTAAAATCCATCTTTGTAACTTGGGTTAGATCCTGTTTTATACTGTTCGTTTTTGCCGATTCTTGGAGAAAAGTCACGCCAACGGGCGCCAACACGCTTGATCTTCTTGAAGGAGAAACTTCAGATGCAACCGGATTTAAGAGAACTTGGTTGCTCTGATCACTTGATTCGTTTATATTGTCACACACCTCAGTGTCTGTTTGAACAACAGTTGGTTCTAATGAAGAGTCGCTAGTATTGCAGATATCCGAGTCTCCGGTTGCAAGAAGAAACGACGGACCCATACTATCTTGTTTTCCAGCTCTGCTCTGGCTTTCTTCAGTTGAAGCTTCATTGTTTCCGGTTCCAACCTCAGCTGGATCAGAATTTGTTCTCGATAAAAGCATAGAAAGACCCGGAGAGTCGCAATTTTCGTCTCTATTTTGACTCTGAGAGCAACAACTAGCTCCTTTGGTACTGAAAATTTCATCAATTACTCCTAAATTGTCACATGCATTTTCGCTTTCGTTTCTGCCATCAAATAATCCGTCCATTATTTCATGTTCGTTGGTAGGACGTGGAGGTTCTAGGACATTGTTTGACCTATTTCCTAGATTTTTATTTTCTTGACTACTAACAATAAAGGTAGAGTTAACTTTAACAAGCGTCGAGTTAAGTTCTGGACCATCTAAGTTGATTTCTTTTCCATCTAAAGGCGTCTGTTTTTCATCATTAGCAAATTCATCAATTTGTGAGCTTATATTATTACTTGATTTATCACATGAGCGTCGTCGCCAGCTCGTAGCATTCGTAATTTCTGTATGAATGCTTAAGTCACTGCTAATGTCACTGGCATCTTCTATTTCTTCAAGTCTAGGCTCGTCTTGTAAAACTTTATTTTGGCATTCAAGGTTGGGATTGTTTTCTTGTGAACAGGGAATAGGTGACAAATCCAGCAACCCAATGTCACAAGTATCTGCAACCTTCATAGTACTATTTTGGGTTCTCCGGCGCGATTCTGAAATATGTATATTTTAATTACTCTAACTTCATCTCGACTAATTTAGTTTACATTGAAATGCTGATTGGACACCTTACTTTACGCATCCAATCATGGCTTTACGCATCCAATCTTGAACATAGCCAACTGACAAATTGAAAAGAGTAATGAACGCAAGGAAAACAAAAAAAAACTGACTTGTTTTTTCAAAAATCTTCAACTTTAATCCTTTCTATTCTTGACTTCAAAAGCTCACACCCTATGTCAGAAATTGGAAAACTAACAAAAACAAAAAAAACTGACTTGTTTTTTTAAAAACTTTCAACTTTTGAATTTCAAAGAAAAAAATAGATGTAGAAGAAATTATGATGGACATTTTTTTGTTAAAAATGACCCATTTTAAGAAAAGTGGATCAAAAAGTAAATTTTCATTTCGCTGGGAAATCTGAAAATTAAATTCAACTTTCAAAACTCGAAGTCAATCGTGCTTGTCGTGACTTTAACACTTTCGCTGTTTGATAGTGGAATATGGCTTCCTTTTAACAGAAAAATGAACTGAACTAAAAAAAAAATAAAGAAAATCCGAAAAAAAACAAGGTTCGTACAAATACACTATCAGCTTGCTAGTGTAATCACGACTCAGAAGGCTTTACTATGCTATGTAACTCGACCTATTCTAAAAATTCTTTGTGGTACCTACGTGATTTTAAGTGGAAAAAAGAAGAAAATAAAACATAGCCAACAGACGGTGTGAAAAGAGTCAATGAACACACAAAAATAGAAGGATAGTGACTTGTTTTATAAAGAAAACGTCAATTTTTAAATTATAACGAATATATGCCCTTAAAACCTCTTTGATTTGCAACCCAAAATTATGACTGACAATTATTGATAAATCTCAATTTGAGAAAACTGGATCAATAGGTATAACTTTTATTTCGCTGGGAAATCTGATAATTAATTTCTTTTCGAAATTAGACGTCGATCACGTTTTTCGTGAACTTTACACTTTTGCTGTTCGATAGTGGAGTTTGCCTTCCTTTTAACAATGGAAATAACTGAACTTAAAAAGAAATCACAAGTCAAACCGCGAAAAATCAAAATTGAGCGTGAACAAACCTTAAGACTTTACTGAAAAAAAATCACCAAGACCTATATAAGAGTACTAACTACGTTTATTACTCTTAAAAAAGTAATTTTTCATTTAAAAAACTTGTCTACATGAAGACATTGCATTACTCATTTAGCCTTTACCATATGTTGTACTTGCGCTCGAAATCATTTCAATGTAAACATTAATAGCGCTTATTATCGCTGTCTTAAATTAAAAGGGGAAAAACTTCGAGATAAATGAAAATAACATTCAGACACGGATTAGAACCGATCGTTGCTTTTTGAGCTAAATTAGAAATTGTGAAGTTCGAACCTGTTAGAGCAGATATGTTTCTAATGCTTTCAGTTGACATCTTCGAAGTTCTGATTTTCTTCGGAAAGCTCTTAGTGCTGAAACAAAAACTCAAACTGACGTCATACAACCAATGCTGGTATGTTAAAAACAATGTTTTTAAAAGCTGACACATTAACATAATTTTAACTGAACCCAGGGATGAGTCAAAAAACTTTTAACTTCCAAACCTTGTTTTTTTATTCCCAGGGCACTTCGGAGGCAAAATGAACTATTTTTCTTCTGAACTTAATCACTTGCCGAAATAAAAAAGTTTTCTAGCCCTTTCCATATTTAACTTAAACAGCTCAATGTCGGAAATAGAAAACATAATGAAAAACACGACTGCCAGCGTCAAATTTTAGTATTAAGACAAAACTTTATGGGCGAAAACTAAGAAAACAAAACTTGGGCAGAAGCCCGTTCAGCCGCGTAAAAATAGTCCTCAAAAATTTTGGAGCTACAAAATTTTCTGAAATCCCATATTTTGTCCTTTCTAACGTAGACAAATAAACCTTCAACGAAAGATGAGGAAATTTAAACGTAAGAGGAAATTTAAAATCTTGACCTCATTTACCTGCACAATTAAAATCCTAGATATGGTATTATTGAATGGTAAAAATAGCTGGACCTTCATAGCCGAAAACTTCCAAAGCAAAAATTTACAGGTCCCGACCTGACTCAAGCACCACATCTGCGTCTTCACAAGCACAAAAATGGCAAATATAGTCACTGAAATTGAATTTAATATAAAGCAAAGGTTGCAAATAAATAACCTTAGGTTGATTACTATGAAATTTAGCAAACAACAAGAATTCAGATACAGCGTCATCACACATACTACTTCTCGCTCGAAATTAGACAAAAACTCCAAAATTTCTAACCGGGTTTTCTCGACACTGCGACGAATTGCTGAATTTTTTTAAAGTCATTCGAATCACGACTCAAAGGGATTGATATGATATCAATCGACCAATTCCAATGATTATTTGTGGCACCTGATTTTGCATGAAAAACAAAAAGACAAAAAAAACAGCCAACAGGCAGTTGGAAAGGAGTCAAGGAACGCAAGAAAACAAAAAAAAATATTAACTTGTTTTTTGAAAACTTTCGAATTTTAGCAAAACATGAAACTCATAAGCCAATGCTCAAACATTGTCAAACATGAGTTGACAAACATGGGTATTTCTTTTTAATAGTTTCTTGTTTGGTAGCATTTTTAGATAGAACCTTACCAGTTTTGAAACATCTGTTGAATTGTGTTAAAGTCATTTTCCATTGAGTTGACATCTAAACAAATCCAATTCTAACACCAAGTCAAAAACGATCATAATGAAGATTTTACTGCTACTTTACCTTTATTTTTTTCAATCAGAACTTGTCGAAAACATTCAACTAAAACACGTTAATCCAGTTGACATATAGGGTTGCTATTAAACAAATTAATAAGTATAAGGATACAGAACTTACATCTTGAAAGTAATAAATTTTGAAAACTTGTTTCATTCTCTACTTCAAATTCCATTATCTCTGAAAAAATTATAAAGTTAGGAAATCATTTTATTCAAACCGATTTTCTAGATGTACGTGAGGTGACAAAGTTAGGAAACCATATAAAGTTAGGAAAGATGTACGGTTTTCTAGATGGACATGAGGTGACAAAGTTAGGAAACCATATAAAGTTAGGAAACCATTTTATTCTAACCGGTTTTCTAGATGTACAAAAGGAGACAAAAAGGAAACTGCTATTTAATAAATTTAAAACTTGTTTCTCGAGAATTAAACTTCTGAGAAAATGTCTCGATACCGACGTTGTGTAACATTCGCCCGGAAGATACATATCGACGGATAACAAAACTAAGTCTTAAGACGACTGGCTAACGTCTAAACAGAGCTTTGCATGCTTTTCACCGTCTCTAACCAAGCCAGTACTTTTCGGTGGTCTTTCTAACATCGGGTCGACAAAAACGTTACTGTTCTCCGGCTTCGACCAGAACGCTCAAATTAACTTAATTACATGCAAATAGTGAGCTCATGGCTGGGCCTCAGTATCCCCAGACCACGAGGTCACTCCTAAAAACAGGGCTACTACTTATTATATTACTATTGTTTTTGTTCAGTAGATAAAAATCATCATCTCCATCGAAGATGGATCAACCCTTTCCCCCCAACTCCTAGCACCTCATCCTTGTCAAAACTAATCCAAATATCAATTAAATTCAAGTCAGGACATGACAGGATGCTAAAAGTTTATATAACAGGCTAAAAGTTTCAGTTCCGAAACCCTTTCGGATTCTTGAATCCACTGAATCAAGCTCGTTAACCTTGATTTCCTCCTAATCCGGAAGGCTGGTTTCTTACCCTTCACCGTTGTTCGCAACGGCCTTGCAACTATTGTAGCAGCACAATAGTTGCAACTCGGAACGTTCTCTGCTATTCCTGCAATCTGCTGCTGTTTTTCAATCACGATTGTCGTTGTTATCGTCAGCGCAACTAATGTTGTTGTGTTTTCTCTCTCGTTTTTTGTTAAAATGGTCGTTTCAGCATTTCTCAGAAATGTGACGTCATCATTCGAATTTTTGAAAATTTAAAATACTAGAATTATCTAGCCCTCACCGTTCGGCTAAAAGTTCCAATAACGCTCTTAGTTCTTAAAAACCACCAATCCGGAAGGCTTACTGCTAAAATTCCGAATTCTGCAGAGATTGCATTTTTCACATTCTGGTCGAATGTCACATACTCCCCGGACAGTCCGGTCAATGTCCTCATTGAATCGCGCAATGTTCATAAAATGGTTACAGTGTCATCGAACAGAATTTACAAAATGCACGAAATTACTTTTATCCACGTCACATCGACTCACTGCAGAATATAAATGGCATCATACTACATCATTATATCCTTCAAATTCTCTCTTTAATCTGCACATTGAGGATACAACCTAAGATAAAACATATTTTCTGACTCCCAATGTCAATGTCCCGATTAAAACTTTTTCTCTTAGATTTAAAAGGTGTTGGCTTGCAGGACAGTCCTGCCAACCAACAAGCTAAAATTATCCTACTATGCTTCTTCCCTTCGGAAATCTTGCTTGTCATTGTCCTGAATATTAGAACTAAGAAACTTTGTGGTTAGAAAGAACCATGAAACAATCTCCCTCTTCAAGAGATTACTCAAGCCTTCCACGTCACCACAAAGTGATCAGTCTTCCTAAGTGATTAAAAACAATCATGCAGGCTGGAATATTTAAATATACTCTTCTCTTAAGCCTTTCTAAATAAATAATAAGTGTCTCTAAAGCCACTTCCGCTAAAATCAAAATGCAAATTTATAAATGCAACAATTTCAAAACTCAACTAAATGTTTCAGTTTTCAATTACAACTTGGTTGCTTGGTTTCTCACTTGAGTTTTTCACACACATAAAACAATTCTGAGTTTTAACTTTTCTTCATCACTCCTTTGTTCTCTTCTTTTTTCGTCGTTTAGAAGTTCTAAAACTTCTAAATTCTTCTAATTTTCTTTCTTGTTGCCTCTTGTTTTCTCGACCATTCGTCAATGTTCCATTTCCTCCTCCTGTGATGCTGACTCCGCACTTTCGGTTTCCGTGTCTTGTAGCACGTCGTTGGCTATCCTGACGCTGTTGGAAGCCGTCCTCCAACCCTTCTGCTCTTCTACCCTCTGTTTACAGCAAGGTAGGGGATCCACGTTGGATTCTCTGTTTCTACAGAAGCTGTTGTGGAGACACAACGTCACGTTTCTCTCCAGATCTTCTTTCAGCATCTCTGCCTTCTCATTTCCACTACGCTCACTCGTCCTGGAAATTCTTTTCACAGCGGTGGTCACTGCATTCCGATGAGTCACGAAAGCTCGCTTGAAAGCTCCTGCCCCAATGTCCAGCTGATATTCACTGTACACTCTGCCATGTTTCGACATATGCTTTTTCGCATACTCGTACAACCACGCAGTCATGTTAGCTCTGAACCATGGCATCAGTCGTTTTCTCGCCCATATCTTCTTCACTTCCATCGGAATGTTCAGAACTTTGCACATTGTCTCAAAAAGATCTAAATCTTTTAGACAATCTAATTTCCGCAATTGTTCTCTCGTCGGCGCCTCCTGTCTATTATTCTCTCTCACATGAGCTTCCAGCCATCGTATCGCCATCATAACTCCCACTATCACTATTGTTACGGGCTGTGATGAATCTGGTAAACCCATGGAGAGCAGCTCTCCAGAGTCCCAGATCAACATCAGATTACTACGCTTGGGATACCACCAGGTCTGCAGCAAACAGTGGCAAGGAAACTCGTCATGAGTCAACATGATGCTCCTCCAATTACGTTTTCCCGAAGCTTCCAGCAATGGTTCCACTTCCATCATCACTCGGTGGATTTCATCATTCTCATATACTGCATTGTAATCTGTGACAGTTGATCCTCTCTGTTTCTGTTTCTCAAAGTCACTGAAGTTCCCGCTCACATATCCCATGAACTTCTTTCCTAGTATTGACTCCAACTCTTCTTTGGTTCTCTCTGGAATTGCTGAGAACATCTTACATAGTAACTCGTAAGACTTTTCAGACATTCTTGCCAATCTCACTGAGAAGGCTTGATCCACAATCGTTCTTGTACTCTTCACGTCCACAGCTACGAAGTATACAGGATACCTGCTCTTGCACATTGGAGCCAACGTTGAACCCACCAAATATCGTGCTCCTGATGGTCTACAATAAGTTTCGCTGTGTCTGATGTTCATTTCTGTCTCGATTGCTTCCCTCCATTTTCCTATATACTTCTGTTCAGTCTGCAGAACTCCTGGGAATACTTCTACGCTGATGGCTGTGACCATCTCATGTTTCTGTTCTAGATTCAATAGTGACTCTAAAGAACCAAACATGCTGTAGAATCCTAGTGCAGTCACTAGATTCACATCGGTTCCTCCATGGCAATCTGCTATCAGTTCCGTCTCCGTTCTTGCTTTCATCACTACATTTCCAAACAATACTGTCAATTGCTTGTGTTGTTTCTCCAGGGTTTTCACACAGTCTAGACCTCCACAAACATGACCCTCCAGTCCACAGACTTCCGCCAGACAGCTACCAGGTTTGACCCAGTCTTCTGGTTCCCAGCCAGGCAACTCCACTTTATCTTCTCCGTTGCTCTTAGAGGCTGTTATCATCACATTATATATGATGTTGAGGTCACGCAGGTTACAGTCTGCATTCAGTTCCCTCTGTACGTCTTGTGTCGCCCGTAATATTGAGTCAGCGTTGGGACTAGGACACCATGATGGCCTCATCAATTCCCACACTGCCATCAAGCTCGTTCTCAGTAATTCATCTGAGAATCCCAACCCAAACTCCACTCTCTTGTCGGATTTTGGTACTGAAGGTGCAGTCACCTCTTCTTCCAAGACCAGTCCCAATTTGGCCTGTATACTGTTAACGCTCTTAGTCGTTACAATTCTGGACGTCCAGAATCTTAGTAACACCGCCTGCTCATAATCAAAGAAGCAATCGCGTATGTCTTCACTCAGGAAAGGGTTGTACGCTATCCCTATAATCCCGGATACGTAGCTATATGACTTCTTCTTGATCGGTCCACAGTACTCACTGGATTTCGGCATCGCTCCCATAGATTCTTTAGTGAGTCTCAACTCCTTGTTTGAGAATCTCCTGATCTCGTCTATCTTTTTCATGGGTTCCAATTGTTCAGGTTCTTTCATGTTTACCCTCATCGGTTTACTTTGCTGCATATCCAGCATTGCTAGCAAGAACAAGGCTTTCGTTCGCTCATCGCCTTCCCTCAACATTTTAACACAAGTGTTTAATGCAGGTACTGAAATCTGCTCTATCAGGAATCGAATGAAACAGAGAGCGTCTCTCCGCTTCGCACACGCTACTGCTGCTCCCTCCTGGACTATCAGATCCCTCAGATTCGTCATAAGGAAAACCTTTTCTTCTTTTGATCTCTTTCTTTCTTCTGAATCATATTCTTCGCGAGTCAGTCCCATCATGCACCAGGCGAACCTGAGTTGTAACTCTGTCCTTACGTTAGGTACTGCCACGAGAGCATGTATTCTTGGCGTAGTCCTCATTTCTTCTTCGAAATACCTCAATACTACTGCTTTCCATGGAAGGCTCACTAACTGCTCGATTGTTTCCGCCCGTATGTCAGACGACGCCAAAGTTCCATACGCCTTCTGCTTGAGGGTGGTACCTTGCAACATCATCTCCAGATAACCCTCCATGGCTTTTTCGTCTTCCAGGGCTATTACATACCCTCTAGCCGAGTTTCGGTATTCCAACAACTCCATGTATCCACCAGTGGGTTCGTCTATCGACACAGTCTCCGACACTGTCAGTCGGTTGTATTCCACTGGTGTTAGTTGTCCTGCGACACCTCCCTTTCCATGATTCATGGGAGATGGCTTGAAGTCCCTCATTTTGCTCTCTCCACATTGGCTTAGTATTTCCATCTCTAAAGTTGCTCCAGTCAGAGTGCGGTCACTCCTTTTGGATTTATAACCGGT